GAATGGACCCCTCCAGTAGCTAGAGGAGAATCGTCAACCTCTCCTGCATATCCACCTAGCTTTACCCCAGCCCCAGCACAACCATTAACTCTACATCTTAACAAATCCGGTCAACAAGTTGATCCTCCAGAGGTCCAATGGCCACCATATGGCCTTCCGCTTAACTACACACCTCCAATAATCATGGATCCTCGGGATAAGCACCAACCATTGATGAATCAGCCACCTACACAAATGCAACCTATCCAACCTGAGGTTTCACCCATGAATGTCACCTCTTATAAACATCAAGTTCCCTACCAACCCCAAAATTCTAATTTTATCAACCAAGGGAATCCTTACCAAACTTCTGGGGGATATCAACCAATCTCTGGAATTGAGCACGTTCAGTCTAGTGAGAAGCTACAAATGTTCTTGAAAGTTGTGTCTCATAACATTTTGCATCATATCACCATTGCATCACATTTCATTTGCATCTCTTGCTTCCTAGAACTTATGATGTAGAGTTTTTAGGCTAAGCACTTACTTCACATTTGACTTTCTATTATTTAAGTCCAGTATCTACCTGACACAAGTTACATTTTCTTTTGTTAAAGCCCAGTATTTGCCTGGCACCAGTTATATCTTTCTTTTTAAGCCCAGTATCTGCCTGGCACCAGTTATATTTTTCTATTAAAGCCCAGTATCTGCCTGGCACCAATTACATTTTTCTTTTAAAGCCCAGTATCTGCCTGGCACCAGTTATATCTTTCTTTTTAAGCCCAGTATCTACCTGGCACAAGTTGCATTTTTCTTTTGTATAAGTCCAATACTTACCTGGCACAAGTTATATTTTTCTTTTGTATAAGCCTAGTATCTACATGGCACAAGTTGCATTTTTCTTTTGTATAAGTCCAGTACTTACCTGGCACAAGTTATATTTTTCTTTTGTATAAGCCCAGTATCTACCTGGCACAAGTTACATTTTTCTTTTGTATAAGTCCAATACTTACCTGGCACAAGTTACAATTTCTTTTGTATAAGCCCAGTATTTACCTGGTGCGACCCATCGACCAATTCAGCACAAGCATTTGGTCGATCCAATATCAGCATTCAATCAATCCAGCACCAGCATTTGATTGAATTGGCACTAGCATTCGGTCGATACAGCACAAGCATTCGACCACCCCAGCATTAGTATTCAGTTCATCGACAATCAATCAATCCAGCACCAACATTTGATTGAATTGGCACAAATATTCGGTCGATACAGCACAAGCATTCGACCACTCCAGCATTAACATTCAGTCCATCGACATTCAATCAATCCAGCACCAACATTTGATTGAATTGGCACCAACATTCAGTCGATACAACACAAGCATTCGACCACTTCATCACAACCATTTAGCATTAATATTTGGTTGATCAAGCACAAGCATCCAACCATTTCAGCATCAACATTCGGTCGATCCAACACAAGCATTCAACCACTCCATCAAACATTGGAATTCGGTTGATCAAGCACAAGCATTCAACCACTTCAGCATTGTCATTCGGTTGATCAAGCACAAGCATTCAAGTACATCAGCATAAGCATTCGGTCGATCTAGCACAAGCATTCAACCCCTCCAGCACAAGCATTCAACATTAACATTCGGTTGATCCAGCACTAACACTTGATGATCTCAACACAACATTCTAGCATTGGACTGTTCAAGCAAAAACATCGAATCTTTCAAGAACTTACTTCATCAACAATAGGAGCTATGTCTTGGGTAGCTGGATAAAATTAATTCACATATTTATTTATTTCTTATCACAAATGATCTAAATTACCTTATTTAGATTATTTAATAAAAAATAAATAAAGAGGGACAACTGTGAATAATCAATTTTATCCGGACTCACAAAAATAATAAAAAGGACATCTCACATTAATATATATATATATATATATATATATATATACATATATATATATATTTATATATATAT